TCAACCTGACCAGCCTGGGAACATGAAATGAGAAATGTGAACCACCTTCTTATTAGTCAGATCCAAAAGCATGCACAGAACAAGAGACGTTTTTTCTTTCTGTTTTGTATATATTTAGAATTATTAATATTTAAATATAAAATAAATATATAAACATATTTCTATACATTTTTAAAACATTTAAGAATGAATACATGATTCTTATAGCTTTAAATGGCAACATTGATTCTAAAGTAAGTATCCTTGACATGTGAGAGTGATGGAATCTTGATAAGTCAAAGTCCATTTTGCATATAGACTCAGAGTCCAAAAACAACACTGAACAGCTGTAACTGTCATTTCAAACATGTCAGTCTGGGATTTACACTTGAGGCAGGTCTTGCGGGGGAGAAATGGATCAGGAGATTCCAACCATTCCCTCTGGCTTTGGGGCAACATTTGAAAGCTCGACTTCCCTCTGAACCCCACTTACAAATGCCTTTCGGCTGTTGTGGTCTGTCTGTCACCATGGCTCCAAGCTTAAGTTTGACTCTGTGCCTGCATCCAGTGTGAAATCTGTTCATTCAGCACAGTCTGACTCCTTCCTGTGTCTCGCAGTCAGTTTCTCTTGGAAGTGCTCTGTAATCCAAGTGGCAGATGGTAGTTTTCACAAGTGCTGTTTATTAGATAAGGCTGAAATTACAGTGAATCTGTAATAGAAAATGTTGCACTTAATTATACTTACACATGTGACTGACAACAGATCTAACTGTAAATCATTGTTAGATGTAATGTTAAAAATGTATAGTAACACTAATTTAACTTTAGATTGTCAAGGTTAAGGCAAACTTCCCTGCTTCATCTGACTCTGAGATTATCTTCACTATCAAAAAGGTACCAAAACACCATGGTATTGGCATCGTTTTCCTGCAGAGGTCTCGTGTGAGAAACAAATCTTATCCTTTTTCTGCCTCCTACTGGTCGTCTGAAGTATTACACACATTGACTTCGCCAACCTGCACTTAAAAACTTTTCAAAAGTATGTTTATTGAACATAAAATCACCACAAAAAGCCCTTAATTACAAACCCGTCAACGTGTAATTGTATTGCTTAATAAAATGAATAAAATAGTACAATAACCTATTTGTAATTATAACCTATCAAAATACATTTCAGGTTGTATAGCTTTTGTTTAGATGAAAGAAGAACAAAGAAGTGTTGTTTAGAAATCTGTAGGATACTAAAATTCGATAAGAAATACAGACACAAATAAGAGTGTCGGTTGTTCTGCTGTGTCCTGTTAAATTGTCAGTGTATGTAACTGTATGTATCTGTTAACAGCTCGCCATCTAGTGGCCATAAATGAAAAGTGCAGAACACCTCCTTCTGAAATAAATCAAGACTGAAGTTATAGAAAGCACTGATTCTGTTGTTGTAATAGGACGGGGCAAGTTGTCACACATTTTACTTAAGTGAAATTTTCCTACGGTAGATTTAGTTTCTGTAACCACATGCTGTAACCTAAACATGTTTATGCTTCATCATTTATGTCTAACAGATTAAATTATATTCACCGGGGCTTCTCAGATATTCATTAACATTTAGACTGTACAACTGTTACTGTAACAGTAATGTCACAACAAATATGACAAACTGACTTATAAAAATAGTAGACCTACTAAATAGTAAGTAACCTACTGTAGCACAGTACACAATCCAAAATTATGGACAATTAGACATAAGCAAGCAGCGTTTTCTTATGAGATTTTATTTTTATACAATTTTTAGGTCAAGCCATATTTCACATGTTCTACAGAAATATAGATCAGTATTACTATTGAAATAAATGTACATTCAGAACCTCTCGTCTATGTGCCAGACATTAGAAATGTGTTGTGTGTGCATTTGCTTGTGTTTGTGTTTGTGTCAGTGTTTGTGCAGCATTTTGTAGGTATGTGGTGGTTTTTCATGCAAAGCGTAGCAGTGAGTATTGCTTAAGACTAAACTACACCATAAGTACAGACTTCAAGCCTGAGCCAACTAAAACAGGGTCCAGCTGTCAGTTTGTCTTTGGAATAGACTGATTTGTACAATCGTTACAACCTAAACTAAGCACATGTAACACTTTAACCCATTGTGTGACCCTGATGACCTTTATAGTAATGGACAAGCAACTACAGCCACTGAAGTCTATGAACAGACAGCGCTGTTCTCCTACGTGTCAGCTGGTGGTACATTACAGCCTAACACATGCTTAGATTTACAAAACTAGCACTATATGCCTGATGGAAATGAATGAATAAAGCAACTGACTCATAGCAAACAACCTGCATATCTGGCAGTTGTGACTGAAATCTGAATATTAATACCAGATTTTGTAAAAATAATACAGCATTAATTCGGCACATTGAAATATCAGTTACCATGGGCAGTCTACACATATACAGTCTAGTCAGTACAGTTTATATAGGATTATGGATCACTGAATTTGAAAAAAATATTCAAGTTATAACATCCACTGACGTATATGGAATGCATTGCGGCACAAACACTCCAATGGCATCACCTGAGCACAAATCAATAATAAATAAAAACAACAACTTTGTCGTGATGATTAAAAGAACATAAATATGAAATGTTCTGCTTTAAAGTTTCCCTCTTCAGATGAGATCACATTGAGCAGTAGACAAAAGGCTTTGGGAGTCTGTGCTGCAGTTATTGTTCGACTCATGATTGTCTGGTAATATCGGTGAGATACATACATCAGCAGGGGTGCCCTTGTGGTTTCTGGGCCCCCTGAACAGCATATTGACTCGGGCCCCCTCTCCCTGGTTGGGCCCTTGGATTCGTCCTAACCCCCCCCCCACCCCCATTACGGAGCCCATGTACATCAGCAGGTGTGCAGCTTTTACATTCAGTTACATTTACGTCCCAATTATATGAGACAAAAAATTAAATCTTAAGCAAAATTAAGTTATGTATAAAATTCAGGAAAATATGGTTGCTGATGTTCGATATTGATGATGTAAAAGATGAAGCAGGAACCCTTTGTGTGATACCGTGCTTGTGAGACAGTAAAAACATCTTTCACTGAGGCTCATTTGCTTAAACACATCAAATACTTTGTTTATCTGTAAAAGGGATGAGAGCTAATGTACTTGGAATGGTCAGTGACAAACTGCATTTTGTAACAAAGCATTAGATTTAAAAACATATCTCTGTGCTAGTAAGGGAGTCGTGTAAAATGTGTGAATGAATAATTAATGTTAATTCAAATTAATGTGCATTTTTATTTTTGCTGATGTGTTTTACATATGGAAAAGGGATTTTAAAATACACTACCGTTCACAAGGTTGGGGTTGGTAAGATGTTTTATGTTTTTGAAAGAAGTCTCTTGTGCTGAATTTATTTGAATTTATTTGATCACAAATGCAGTAAAAACAGTAATACTGTTAATTATTATTACCAGTTAAAAGAACTGTTTTCTATTTAAAGATGCAATTTATTATTGTGATGGCAAGGCTGAAATTTCAGCAGCCATTACTCCAGTCTTCAGTGTCACATGATCCTTCAGAAATCATTCTAATATGCTGATTTGCTGCTTGTGAAACATTTATTATTATTATTATTATTATTATCAATGTTGAAAAATCTTTTTCTGCTTAAAATGTTGTGAAAATTGTCATTCATTTTTTCAGGACCCTTTGAGGAATAGAAAGTTCAAAAGAACAGCATTTATTTAAAAACAAACTTTACTGTTACTTCTGATCAATTTAGTGCATCCTTGCTGAATAAAAGTACTTTTATTTTTTATTATTATTATTATTTTACACACACACACACACACGCAAATAAATCCTACTGACCCCAAAACTTTTGAACCTCAGAGTAGATTTGTAGGTCAAAAATGACATTTGGATTTATATTTCAGTCTCCATGGAGAAACAAATGAAAGGTGAAAAACTCATTATACTATGGATTAGTTTTGTTAAACAGTGCAGTAAGAAACTAAAATGTGCTTTGTTTTTCCAATGATTTGCTCTCCATTGCGGAATAAGCTGCCCTGCCTCACAGACCCTACATAATACACCAATCATTCATTCTGTCTGCTGGAGCCCAAATCAATCATTTTTACATCAGACGATACTTCAGGCCATTCTAATCTCATTCTGTCTTGGCACAAAAAGAATATCTGATAAATTTAATAGCAAGTGGCAAACAGACACAGCAATGCATGCCACGGAAATCACTGGTTAAACATAGCGGATCATCGCACAGCAAAGGTCAGATTAATCTTAATTTGAAATTGCTTAAAAAAAATACAACAGTGCTGCTAAAAACATGAATGAAGATCTTTTGCACTGAATTGCACAGTATGCCGTTCAAGCAAAAAAGAAAAGTAGTAAAAGACAAGAATAGATAGATTTAGGAATATTTCTGTAATTCCGTTTTTGTCTTTTTCCCTGCTTGTGGTGCTAGAAATGGTTCAACATCAGGAAGTTCAAGCTGCTATAACCTATCAAAAACCCTTACATGCCTCGTTTTGAGGGAGTTTGTGCTGATTAGTCATTTTTACTATTAATTCATAAGGACTCAATGTGTATGACAGATCACTGATGGATTATGGGCCATTCCTGTTAATATTGAAGCTATTTTTCAATATTGATATTTCATATAATTATCTAACTGACCCTGAATTGTGGTCTTTAACCTATAGTATAATTGTGCCTAATTCAGGACATTTCTGTGTGCTTTCTTCACTGAAATGAGTATCACCTCTACACTGGAAACACAGCTGGTCTATAGCTCTGAGAGGTTATATACAATATTATACACTAAAATATAAACATACAATATAATTAAATAAAAAAAACAGGTGGGACGATGTGATGTAACAGAAGGATGATCTCTAAAGCTGACCTAAAATGAATTATGGTTTCAAATACGCATTCACATCATTTTTCATTAAACAGAGTATAATATAGTATAAATTTATATTTTTCTCCATCATTTAAGAAACAAACAAAAAAAAAACTAAAATGTGGCATAACAGAATTTCATGGATGTGACCAATAAATGCTGATCTCTGTTTAAAACCAGTGACTCCATCCAGGATGATATCTTGAGTGCCAGGAATGACACCGATCCACTGACCAGCTTATTCTTCTTCCTCCTTCCTTCTCTTAAATGTTGTGCTGAGTGAAAGAGGACACATGTACAATACATGATCCTGAATTGGCTGCCAGCAGACTTTATTCCTGGATGTATTTGGGTATCGTGTGAGTTGAGAGAGCAGCAGGAGCTGAGAGGGATAACTGGATCCATATGATGCCTTTTTTGTTCTTCTAAATCAGCATTACTCAAAGCGCTCATAGTTTCGAGTTTGTCTTACTCGTGGTATCATGTCGATCAACAGCCTGCAGGAGAAATGAAGAATGGAAAGATTCACATTAGAGACATTATAGTGCAAATGACTAATGCCTTTTGGAGAAAACAGAAACTAACAGTATGTTCTCAGTGAATGCACTTACTTGACCCCATAAGCTAGAATGATGAGTCCAATCAGGACCCCAGTGATTCCGTCCAGGTACCAGATGGTGGGATGATGTCTAAACGCCTCAGCACTGACGAGGATGGAAAATCCCATGACGCCTCCAACCATAGAATTAAAGCCTTCAGAAAAAATAAATCAAGCAATTACATTTTATGTGTTATTATGAATTTTATTTTCATGACACCTTCATTTAAGGTTTGTAAACAGCAGTGTCGTTATTGTTGACTAATTATTTTCATTAATTGAAATAAAGCTGAAAAAATAGGTGAAAAACATAATTAACTAAATTAACTTGAATGAAAATGAGAAATGTTGCCTTGGGAACTAACTGAAATAAGCTTAAGTACTAAAATTACTATAACTAAAACTGAAATAAAAATTTATGAAAACTAAATAGAAACATAAAAAAAGAACAAATAACATAAGAATATTGCAATAACCAAAATTAAAATGAAAACTCAAAATATAAAAATAAAAGGTCATTCAAAATATTACAATATCATTTTTTTAATCGCTAGGAAACATTTCTCAATACTTTGGTCTTTCTCTCTTTCTTTTTTAACTCATCACACAGTTCTCCCAACCAACTTTCATCCTGGCACAGCAGTTCATTTCACATTCAAAATGCACTAAATCTATCAAAACCCTTCATACATCTCTAATCAAGTCTGCAACACCATCAAATTGAAATCGAAAGACTAACTCTTGTGTAACCGTTCAGATACATCTAATTGTTTTGACAGGATTTTTTTTTTCTTTTTTTTTAGATTTAGAATACATTTCAATATGGTATTGCTGTAGTAATGTAGCAAATTTCCATCTTATTCAGTTCTGTTAACAGAACTTTAACAATTTTGAAAATATTATGGCAAACATGCAAATTGGCCTGTAGATACAAAGACTTTTGGTGGTGGCTGTGTCTAAATGAGAAAAGATGTAATGTAATTTGGAAGATATAGTCACTGAATGCATTTTTTGCCAAAGCAATAAAAAATCATCCACCGTTTAGCCCACATAGATAGCTGTTGTGCTCACTATGTGAAGAGTTTTGAAAAAGTGACCAAAGAAGTGAGAAATTGGTCCTAGTGACTGTAAAAACTGTAATATACTGTATTCATAGTCAGAGGCAGGTGGCACCATGATGTTGTCGGCTAATAATATAAACTTAATGAGAAACAGTGACATGGTATGTGCTCATGGGTGTGGGTGTGGGTGTGTGTGTGTGTGTGTGTGTGTGTGTGTGTGTGTGTGTGTGTGTCATACCATCAGTGATTAGGGCTCTGCTGGTCAAAATCCTTCCCAGCATGAACTTGACAACAGCAAGAATGACACACACGAGGCCACTGACGATAGAAACGCTGAACAGGAAGTCATCCTGGCAGAGAGACAGACAGTAACAGACAGAAAGAAGAATTGTTCACAGTAGAAATGATGCAGGGTACATATGGTTGAATCATAAATTGGGAGGGGGGCACAGGCAATACCATCATGGAGACATTAAAGCCAGAATTCTTAAAGGCCTGTGAAAGTAAAAGAGGGATAAAAGTATAACAATATCAATGGGACTTTCAGTTATGTCTAGTTGGCTCTTGAGGAGATACAGAGATGAAGTGCAGTTAATTTTAAGCACAAGTGAAAAGTAGCCAACTTAATATTTAATAAGGAATCGAAAAAGCATGATAAGAGGGTTAGACTAGATTAGATACAAAGACTAAATATGAAGACACACAAACTGATTTACACAACAAACATGATGGCTTTAAGTACACAAAAAAATAACAAGTTAACAGAGCTATTCTAATAGCTGTGGAAAATGAACCTGTGTGTATCAGAATATGGACATTTTTCAGAAAATATGTAAACATACATGGTCAATGAAACTGACCACAAAAGCTTTATCACAAAGCTTCACAATAAAAAGACATGACAAGATGAAAAAACACAAAAAGACACATGAAAACAGATCTCCAAACGAAGCACCAAGAAAAGGGAAAACAAAAGGTACATAAATAGCTATTACAAATAATAGAAATGCATAAATGACTGTTTTTGTTTCTTTTGCTTTTCTCTTTTCTCTCCAAACTAAGAATGTCTGCTTTCCACCCACACAACATCCAGAAGCACTTCTCCAACATTTGTTCAGAGACCTTCATCTCCGAGGAACAGCTGAGAGACAAAGAATGTGTTTAAATTCAGACTTTCATCTTTTAAGCTGACTGGCTTGTTAAGACTGACAATTTGGATTAATTGGACCACACAGTTTTCAGTAAGGCCACCTTAGAGATTCAGAGTGATGGGTGCTGACATGAAGAGTCCAGGTCTAATGAATGTGGAACTGCAGGCCGATAAAATGAAAAAATGCACATTAAAGAATGTGGAAGCCCACTTCTGAATCATCCATCCTAATGCAACAGGAGAGGGCCGACAGAACAGATGGCTTACGGCCAGCACAATTCCATCATTAAAGCTGCTGCAGTGATGTTTCATTAGGACTTATGGGGTAAAACAAGGCTTGAATTAACTTCTTTTTTTTTTCGGCTTCGGTTTGTTTTATTTCTCTCCGAATTGGCTCTGTGTGTGTGCCCGTGAGTTCACGTGCTGAGATGAGGAAACGCCTCTCCGCTTATAATGTGCATTTGAAAAAGCAACACATGCAAAAAACATCTTCCACTGTAATGACTTCCAATGAGAAGCGTTTTTAAACCTGTTGTCCAACAAAAGAGAACATTAGGCTATAACATACTCCAAAACATCAGTCGAATGTTTGAAATAACTTCCTTTTGTGATCTGATGTGGCTTCTTATGACAGAATGAGGTGGAAAATATATTCTTTACTGTAAAAAGGTATCTAATGTCGATTAGCAATGGATTACAAATATACTTAAAATACCTAAACTGGCTTGAAGAACACAGATAAACTATATTGTCGAAGTCGAGTGTTTATTGTCTTTATGTTTCATCATTCAAAACGTTTCTACCTTTTTTTATTCGGTTACAGGGATAGCTGGATGCCTTTGTCCATATCTGGGATTTCCTGGAATATCATTGGTTCTATTATTTCTGTGATACACATATCTATGGTGATGCATATGTGGAGTTTCTGCGCGAGGGCACCCTCCAGCTTCCAGTATAAATAAAACATACATTGCATGTGTTTATAGCTCTCCATAATGGCCAATCCATCCTATTTTGGATAAAAATAGGAAAAATAATACTTCTCTCAAAATAAATTTTAAGTAGACATATAATAATCCATGTCCTTCTCCAGTGTACAGGAGTTTTTTTATTGTTAATTTTTATTTTATTTTTTAAATCGCATTTAAATTGCAAAAAAACACTGTATTGTATTGAACTATCAATACATCGAAGTATGTATTGAACCGTGGACTAACTGTATTGTCGCATCCCTAATATATATATAAATAAATAAAATAATATATTATATATAGAGAAAGAGAGAGAGAGAGAGAGAGAGAGTAAATTAGTACATACTGTGCAACCAGTGTTATTTTAGTATATGCTGTGTATATGCTATTATAGCATTTATTAATATTTAAAATTTGTATTTATTTTTATATTTTCAGTTATTTTAATTTCAGTTTTAGTAATTGTACATTGTCATTTTTAAATACTTTTATTTAGCTTTAACTTAGCTAAGTTTTTAGTAAATTTAGCATGTTAAACTTTTTTCCAGGTAGTTGCCAAAGCAACATTTTCAAATTGTTCAAGTTTTTCAAATTTAGTTTTTTTTTTTTCATCTAATATTTATCAATTATTATATTTTAGCTTCATTTCAATTAGTGAAAACAATTTTTAATAGTTTAGTTTTTGTTAACAATAACAATCTTGGGTGCAAATCACTCATTCCACTCCAGATTTTATTTACTACAAGTCAGGACCTTGGCAGCATTTTTCTTCTAAAACAGACATATTTAATATAATTTTCTGCACATTAGAGATTCATCAAATAAACTGCAGAGGAAAGTGATAAAAACTCAATCTTGACCCTCCCACTGTGCTGCTGGACTGAACCATAACAGATCCCTGACACCTATTATTCCTGTCAGTGGCATCTTTTATGTGTGACTCCAGATTACTGCCGTTTCCTCACACTCATTAACATTTTATAGTGTAGGAATATGAAAAGGGTATGAACTGCTATTTCCCAGCCAGAAAAATAAAACACAGTGAAAACACTGATTTACATTTAGATTTTGTTTATATATATATATATATATATATATATATATATAGCCACATATTTTGTTTATATATATATATATATATATATATATATATATATATATAGCCACATGTATAGCCATTTTTTCTCTCTTTCATTCTTTCTGCCTTCCTTACATGTTTCCTCACTCTCCAGACCTGGATATCAATTAACATTTTGTTGGTAGAGGATCATAAAAAATAATGTTACAGCAGGGATGTATCAGTGCTCAGAGATTTATCAGCAGAGATTTTAAGGTGTGAAGATGACTGTACTCTATATCTATTTGTTTAACTCACCATTTATTATATTCACCTTAAAATTATAAATATGACACACTGCCATTGAACTCACCACTTCAGGAAGAAGTTTGGTGGCCAGATCATGGATGGCCTTCCCCAAAATACACATAGATGACAAGATGAAAATCACACCCAGGATCACACATGCTCTGTTGATGGAGAAAGCAGAAAACATATGCTGATAAAATAATCCATTTAATCAAATTTCAGGCAGTTTTATTAGTTTATATGTTTTCGAGTTTATATGATTTGAGTTACTTTATCATTCAAATGTTTGGGGTCAGTAAGATTTTTTAAAAGATATTAATACATTATTCAGCAAAGATACAGTACATTGATTAAAAGAGACAGTAAAGACATTTATTAAGTTACAAAATATTTGCATTTAAAATAAATGTTCTTTTGAACTTTCTATTCATCAAAGAATCCTGAAAAACATCACCGTATTAACTTTTTAGAAATAAAAATAACAACTGAAATGCTTCTTAAGCACCAAATCAGCATATTAGAATGATTTCTAAAGGATCAAGTGACACTGAAGACTGGAGTAGCTGCTGAAAATCACAAAAATAAATCACATTTCAAAATATATTCAAATTGATAACAGTCATTTTAAATTGTAATAGTATTTTACAATATTACTGTTTTAATTTATTTTTGTACAAATAAATACAGCATTGGTGAGCATAAGAGACTTCTTTAAAAACACATTTTACAAATCTTACCAACCCCCAATGTTTTAATGGCAGCAAATTTTTTTTGTTGCTGATGTTGATTCAAGGTTGAAGCAAGAACATTGACAGTTTCACAAAGGTGCACCTGGGGAACACTGGCCTCAACTGATTTAACAAATGATTTGTTCTTTATAGTAAACCTGCAGAAACCTGATCTTCTCTGAAAAATAAGAAAAGTGCCCACAATACATGTTCAGATTCCCTGTAAGACAAGCGGCCACCGGTACACCTACAGAGACCTGCAATTCTTCTCTAGTATTGCACTATAAATCTCCCTTTCTGACACATCGACCAGAGAAATGAAATTCACAAGCCCCCACAGACTGAGGATGAAACCAGCAGCACAGGCCTTTATCAACATAATACGTCTCGAATTGAGAAAGCCAGAAACAAGGCAGATCGCTCAACAAATCTGATAAATCGAACATGTTCAGACTTAAAAACATGTCGCACTGAATGTTGGTAGGAACTAGTCAAAAGAGAAAAGATTTTGTGTCCTACCATGCTCCACCACAATCCCAAATGTACTAGCTTTACTAAGAATAGCACTGACAGTGAAATGTTGACTTATATTTTAAAATGTTTGGAATGTATTGTTTTAATGTTGGTCACAAAGGAAGCATTATTAATAATTTTTAGTGATTTGCTGCAGGTTTTTTGTACTAAGCAGTGCCCTACATACTACAGACAGCTCATCTTTTGTTTACTTACATGTATTCTCTATGGGCAGAGTGCACCGCTGCAGCGTTGCTATAGCGCCACAGCACTATAATGGAGGAAAGAACATCTAACGTCGCGTCAAACTGAAAAACAACAGTGATTCATCAGTGCTATAAAAATGAAAAACTATGTCACAAACTTAGGTCCAGTGATAGACTAATGAACCAGTTCCAGAGCTGCCTTGAGCACAGGAATGTAATGAATGCAAATGTAATAAATCAAAAACAAAACATGCATCATAAAAAATATCCTTTAAAGCAGCTCATCATCCTTTTGTTCCCAGTGTCATTAGCAATCATCTTTCATATCTTACGTTAGGTGTGTGGATATGCTTAACACAGACACCATTTAAATAATATTCACACATAGCTTGACGAGTGAACATAAAGCAGAAACAAATACACACTTTTCCAGACATCTTTGCCTAAAAATAACATGTAATTCATTAACACTGAAGATTATACTTACGGCAAATCCAAAAGCTGATGCACTGTGTCTCATGAAGGATACAGCTATAGGGGAAAACAAAACAACAGAGAAGAAGAAGAGAGAAAGATGTATCTGTATTTATATATTACATCACAAATAATACCCAGTACAGCACTTTGCAGCACTAACTAATGTAAAGGAGCTTCTGATGGATATTAAGCTGTTTCTAAACTACAGTGACTACGTCTATCATTCTGAACATTAAATTAAAAAAATTGCACAGTATCAGCATTGCTTTTTGAAAATGGTAGGTATTGAGCACATAAATATTATCTGTATTATATAATATGTATTATTCTATTATTTTCTATTCTATACCACAGTATATTTAAGGGAAAACGAGTCACACAAAAAATGTATTTCACATCAAAAACAAACAATTATAATAAATATAATATAATATAATATAATATAATATAATATAATATAATATAATATAATATAAGCCCAAAGCTGGAACAGGAAAGCTAGAAAAACATTATAAATGGAATAAAACATAATGTCTTTTGAAAATCACAGACAGTCAGCAGAGGGCAACAGACAAACTGCTGTTGGAAACAATTATAATAAATATAATATAATATAATATAATATAATATAATATAATATAATATAATATAATATAATATAAGCCCAAAGCTGGAACAGGAAAGCTAGAAAAACATTATAAATGGAATAAAACATAATGTCTTTTGAAAATCACAGACAGTCAGCAGAGGGCAACAGACAAACTGCTGTTGGAAAGTTTGGTGAGGGGATTGTAACATCAGTGAGTTTCACACAGAGAGGAAGTGCCTCCTGTACATGTTCAGCTCTGAGTCCAAACTAATTGGTCATTCAAAGCACAGGTCTGTTGTACAGTGTCAGCCATTGTTATCAGATGAAAGTGCAATTGTCAAATCCCGTGTTACATTTATCAGTAACAGAATGCACAGTCAACTCACCCCTCTATCTGCATCTATTAAAATGTGAATTGAAAAAGGCTGCCCACTGTTTTGACTTTTTTGACAAAGCTCTCTAACTGTAGAGATGTGAGACTCTCCATTTTACCAAGCGTGAGCTTGCATTTGAGAGGCTCTATTTGCTGCCCCCCTCTCGAGTGGAGAACGCTCACTGTTCTATTGATCTCCAACTTTAAAGACAGACTCGACCACCACGTGTCATAGCAACAGAGGGGCTGCACACTGCACAATGCACTGCCCTTGAAACAGAAGAACACTTCAGCCCTGGAGCTGTTGTTATGCATGGAAAACAAAATATTTTTTGTTTATTAAATCAAATGATAAAAACTACTGAGGATGTTCTCATAACAAATGTTGATGCAGTCAATGCATTGTAATATATAATATCCAACAGTGTCAGAGTGGTGGCATTGTGGTCAGTACAAGTGTTAATCAGTGGTGAGTAGTGCTGGGCAGTATGACCAAAAATTTATATCACGGTATTATTCAAAGTTATACCGGTTTCACGGTATATGACGGTATTTTTTTCCATGCATGACCTGGTGTTAGCCACATCTGATAAAATCAACATGCATCTACACTAAAGAGCGGCTATGCGGTTGTTTTGGCTGTATTACTTTTTTGTCTCATGCAGCGCACTGACTGCGTCTGAGAAACAAACTAAAAAGAAACAACAAACAAAAAAGTGCATGTGATATTAACAGACGAACTACGCTCATATTTATAATTCCAAACAATCAGTAAGCGACAGGTGCTAGGAAACGCTGTTTTGTACTCATTTATTTACGATTGTCTGAATGCGCTGCTTCTCTGCCGCTCACTGCACAGAACAGACGCCCAGTTTCGGAACTTTCACGCTTAGGAACACATACAGCTGTTCCCTCAACACAGTGCACCAGTGAAAAGGGACCCCTTTCAAACAGTGTCGCGTTCCGAACGCTGTTTAAGCGACATACATTGCGGTATTTTAAAAATTCATATCATAACAAAAATAAACACCGATATTCGGTATGAACAGGTATACCGCCCAGCACTAGTGGTGAGACCCGACCAGTTTCAAGTTTGGCCAAGATTGTGTTTCCATCACATTCTATCTCTTCATTTTATTTCTCAACTCTCTCAATCAATAAAAATGTGGCAATCAAGAAAACACATTACTTACACAATGAAACAAGTACATCTAGATTGCTTGAATTTCTGCATTTAACAGACCAACAAAGGGCCCAAAACAACGGCTGAGGGGTCATAATACTAGAATGAACATACAGCTTACATGTTTAATAACTATAAACATGTGCAGTTGTTTGCTGATGGCTTTTCTGAACTTGCCAAAATAAGCAGATAAAAAAGTACAAGTCTATCTAGAAAAGATCAAATCCACATTCTTCCTATGCATATGAAATATTCCCGAAAAAAACTGAGCACATGAATGTGAGGATCAAAGAGCCCAGTGAGTGTAGTTACAGCTGAGGAAACATGCCAGAGGAAGTAGGTCAAAATGAGTGTGAATATCTCCAGTCCTGCATTACATCCATATTAGTATTAACAAGAAAAATGTATTTTTCTGCTGATGTAAAAATATATGGTTTTGAAATTACATGTTTCACATATGGCTGTGGTGTTCAGGTGTCAGTATACTTTCATTTGTTTAGTGTATCTTTTAAAGGCTCAGGTGGAAACTGGAGGTGGGAAGTGTAGGTTGGTCCAGATCTTTTGACAAACAGCAGGTTTGAAATGGGGAAATTTATACATAATTCAAGTTTCCAAATCAAAACACAAAACGAAAACACTGTGTTGGGGGTCTGCTAACAAGACACAAGACACCTAGCATGAGAAAAGCTGTAAATGTTGTTTCAAATGTTCAAATAGCATATATAAGTGCAGTGCATATATAAATATAAATATGTGTATAAGTGCAGTCCTAAGGGACATCTCAGGTTTCTATGAGAACCGGAGCTTCTAACAGAAGCTTCAGTCACACGATGACTTTACCAATTGGCTCTTTTATTTAGAAAATTGGGTTCACATTTAGCATTGTTTTACACATTTTCATGGGTGAAATCCAATCATTTCAATGGGAATCCATGCAAACAGGAATTTCGCCTGAGGGCAAATGATTTCCCCACACAGCTTTCGCAACAGGTTCAAGTTGGTTACACAGATTCGCCCTGTTGACCATCAGAAAGCTGCTTGTTTTGAATGTAACTTCTGTGTGTTCAGCGCTTTATACATCTCTACATGCCTGTGAAATGTTGCTGAAATGGTCTCTAACTTGGTTGTTATTGTGCATTGCAGTTTCTCAAATCATTCTTTTGAATGAGCCTTTTTTTAATTTTCAATGAATCAACTATAATCCAATTCATAAAACCTGTCTGAATGATTTGTTCAGTTGAACTCACTGAATCAGCGATCATGTTGCAGCAGTTAAGATGTGAATACGGATTTAAATTACAGTCTGTTTATCAAACCCATCAAATGATTTTAATAGACTTGGACTATAGCTCCTGAATTGTATGGACAACACTTGTATGATCATGTTATACTTGTGGCACTATTTGAAGCTTCAAAGTCCCCATTAAATGTACCTGTAACAAACATTCGTAGTTCGGGAAGAAGGAGACGGGAACCGGCGAACATTCAAAGAAAACTTTAATAATAAAATAAACAAACACAAAACGAAAGTAAAGCGGCAGCCCCTCGCGGACAACTGCCGCACACAAAACACAAAATAAAATCCAGGCCTGGTCCTCTCTCGTCCAACACTGTTGTCACTCCTTCTTTTATCCTTCCGGAGCTCCTCCGTGGGACTCGAGACCAGTGAGTGGCGCAGGTGTCGCGCATTAGCAATTACTCCACCGGCCTCGCTCCGTTCCCACGGCTCTCGGCCCCGCCCCACTCGTCACAGTACCCATTAATTGCATGGAAAAATTAATAAGGTAATTCTTCAAACTTTGCTGTGTGTTCCACAGAAGAAAGCCACATGGGTTTCAGATGACATGAGGGTGAGTCCATGATGATACTAATGATGAGGACTATTCCTTTAACTAGATTGTTAATTTTATATAATTTCCAAAACAATAATCCTACACTGGTCAATAAACTATTAAAATGTCATTTTCATTGCTCCAAAACAAACACATACTGATATGAACTCAGAATGACATTTTAAATTCCTCTTTGTAATAAAAGAGGAATGGTGGGAGAACCCCTCTCTGAGAGCTTCGGGCCGATAATGGCCACCGCTCCTGCTTTTCATCATGCTAATCCCCGTCTCAGAGGAGCGGAGCTGACTGAGAATGTTGTCCTCTTGTAAGACTGTGTGTGCTATGAATTACAAAGGAGGTCAGAGACGTCAGTGAAATAGAAAGTAGAATTTGCTGCTTCCTGTTGATCAGATTTCAAAAGGAAAAAAACTCTTTAAAAGCTTTGAACTGTCACAAATATACATTAGAGCTTCATTGTTTATTTAAAGGGGTCATATGATGCTGCTAAAAAGAACATTATTGACTCTTAACTTTTATAAAGAATATCTCTTTGGATTTGAGACTTTAGTCTTTGCAACTTTACAGATCTTCTTTATGCACCAAGAGCTTGCAACACTCCAAAGAGAAAGGAAAAATTGAAATTGCATCATATGACCCCTTTAAGTCTGCGAGTTGAGATGTCACCGGTAGTCACAGGATTCCCTTTTTAATGCTTTATTTGTGGTGCAGTGCAGTTAATCTGTTGTTATGAAAGGAAGAATCTTCCATCCATTTTCTGCAGTGGAAATCCAGTATATTTATAACTGGCTGGGTAAATCAATAGTCAGTGTCTTGCTAATTCTACTGTAATCTATTTGAAATCAATTTTAGGAGCGCCACAGAAAGCGTCACTTTAAAAGAGTCAATAGGCTTAAGTGAATATCAATAACATGCTCTTAATATCTTAGTGTCAGGATAGTGTGTGTATATGAAAAGGACTTAATCGCCAATTCCAATGCAAACTCCTCGACCTCATGTAGCAGCCACATTAGGGGACAGTGGCTATTACAACAATGCTCTTCCTCAGCTCTGCTGCAA